TATGCAAACTGTAGTATTACAGAAATAACTAAAAACTTGTTCTGGTGAACAAAACACACATCTCCTCTGTTTTTAGTAGGATGAGTGTGATTTGATATAATGTGAGCTCAACATCAAACCATCAGTAACTGTGCCCAGCAGAGGATAAAAATATTTACATTATAATTCAACAAATACTATGAAAGGTAACTTATGGCATAAAATAATAATCCAGGTGTATTATGGCAATAACAGTTGAGACCCTGAACTCTGCAGTTATTAGCCAATAATTAATATAAGGAAACTTTGCATGCATTGCTCACCAAGGACAATAACTCTGAAATCCAAAACATAACTTATTTCAACTGGAGTATGAAAGGCTTCCAAGTTGGGATATGCCTTATAAATTTCACCTTTATTTTTACACATAGACTTTAAGGTTACCAAATGCAGTCCCAAATGGTATTACAGTGTACATCAGCTTTAGGGAATAAAGATGCACAGTAACTTTCATTAAGAATATCATGTAAGTTTTGAGGTTAAGGCCGAAACAAAAAACTCTTGTAAAAAGTCTTTTTTTTACCTTGAACCTCAAGGTCAAAGGAATCTAAAAGTAGTACACCACACACCGGCTTCAGGCGATGTACCCATATTTCAAGATTTATTAAGATATCTTTAAGGGTTTACTAGCAGTTATGGCCAGGATAAGATTACTAGAATATCAAGAACAAGAACCAGGAACTGAAAAAATGTCTCCATTCATTCAAAGGGTAGACATAATTACAACTATGAAATTGGAAGCACTGACACATATGTATGATATGCCCATCATAGCCCTTGCAGAAATTTACACAGATTAATTTAAAGCAGCAATGTCAAATGTAAATGCAAAACAGGTTAAATAATATTCTAAACTGTAAGAGTAGACTAGTTGTGCACAAAATGGCAAAAACTTCATATCAATACCCAAGACTGGCAACTAACGAAAGGTTTAATGCGGAAAGTTGAGAATATACAGTCAAACCTGCTTTAGATGACACCTCCATATAAAGGACACCTGTCTATAAAGGACAGTCTCAGGAACCCCCAACAAGTTTTACTATATAATTTACCTCTATATAAAGGACACTCTCTATAAAGGACACCTGTCCATAAAGGACACTTAGAAATTTCCCGAAACACTATTTTCTATGTAAGATAACCTTTACTTAATGGACACCCATACAAAACTTGGAGACAGAAATTTCTCTCAGATATAAATCCTGGCTTTCCATAATGAAGTATTATAGTACATGTATAAGATAAATCTAATTACAACCTGATATATTTTATATTACATTTTATTTTAATCTCATCTTTGTTGATTTATTAAGCTAACCACTTTGTGTATTTTTCTACATGACAAATTCTATCAAAGCAATAAGTTAATATCTGCCTTACTTGAAGTGGAAGACAAGTGTGTATGGTTTGTGTCTGCATGGAGACACTTTAATTCTTAATTTCATTGACACTAATTAATTCTACTCTGACCATGGTGTATGTAAACAATGACAATTTACACCATTCATTTTTATCATATTGGCTAAGAATCAAAATTGTGAATCTGATTTGATAACTAATTTTAAAATGTTAGTGATCTCTATATAAAGGACACTTCTGTCATTTCCCCAGTGTCCTTTATACACAGGTTTGACTGTACAACAAAATCCTTAATACATGTTAAAAATCATTGCTTAGTGAAGCAACATACCAAATTTGAGAAGAATTGAAGAAAATATACTAAAAAGTTCTAGCATTTTCTGTATAATTTACATGATATATTATAATTATCTGTAATTGTACCAGATTCAAATACCCAAATGACCATAACTCTAGTAAACACGGTCCAATCAAACTGCCCTTCAGGAAATCACAAGGTAATGTTTATTTTTATGTCTAACAATATTTGAAGGAAATTTGTTGAAAACTAAACAGATCTGCAGACAAACAAAATGTTTAGGATACCCGTCGTCAAATTGACGGGCATATAAAAAGCGCATGTTTGGGTAGTTGTATCACATGTACACACATGGCGAAGCTGATATTGGATTATTCCCTTAATAATGATTTAAATCAATAAAAGTGGAACATTCTTAGTTAATTGGCAGTAATCGCAAGACCATTCATTACATACAAGTATAGAGTTTACTTACCAAAAGCAAATGAACATTGTTTTCTTGTCTTCCAGTATCAACTTTGATATGATAAATGATGAATAGCAATCAAAAGAAAATAAGAACCCATTTCTGTGATGGGTAACAGTGTAAGAGGACAGCTCATTCATTTTAACAAGCAAGTCAAAATCTTCACATAAAACAACATAAATACTTGCAAATGGAAACACCATTTCTGAAGAAAAAGATTCTCTTTGTTAATAAAAATATCAATATTTTAACAAGTCAATTGTCATGTTTTCCTTCTATTCATGAATTATTTTCAAGTAAGATCTAGTGATCAGCTTGCAGCTAAGGTGCCAATACAACCTGATTACATTGCACAGCATGTGTATAGATTCTAAATATGTATGTATACACAATATCTAGTGCAAAAGATTTTTGAAAATCCAACTGTCAACTGATTTGAAAATTAGAAGCAGAAAGCATTGCCCTAATTAAACTGACATACTGATTATTAAAGTATATTTCAAAAGGGCCCTGGACTGGCTGGACCAAATTATAAATGTTAGACTGATGATAGATCTGTTCCAGATAACTGCAAAATATATTAATAATTCCTTACTGAAATGAATGTATGGAACTGCAATGAGGGGAAACTGCAATAATTGATGATAAAGCAAAGCATCAATGAAAATCAACATGCGTGTCCCAAGTCCCACGTACTGAAAGAATCCTGATGGGAATGATTAACAAAGAATTTCTAAAAATACCTAGTTGAAAAAGACTTGTGAAATATATTGTAGATTTATCACTGGATGTATAAGTTTTAAAGACATAGTTTGAAAAATAAGAAAAACAATTTTGTAAACACTATAGTTATAGTCTTCCAACTTTCTCAAAAATTAGCTCAAAGACAAAATTGAGGGATGAACATCTGGACAAGATTATTAAAAAAAAGAAATGCTGAAAAGGGAGATAACTTTTTAGCCCTATAACCACAAAAATATTAGTTTGTAACTCAATATTATGAAATGTTGTAGGCTCTTTTGGAATCTTGTACATGAAATCAGGGTATGATTATATAGCCAGCCTTACAAATTTTGAAAGAATTTCATTTTGGTTTAAAACTGAGAGTCGAGATCATCTCAAAAATATCAAAATTTAAATTTTTTTTGTTTTGTTTTGTTAAAAGTAAAACCCAAAAGGCAGTTATTTGCAAAACACAGTAGTTCAAGGGAACACAGCTAAAATTGACATAGTAGTATATAAAACCAAACAAGCCTGGGGAAACTGTGTAGAGATTTGTTGAAACTCCGAGTTTTGCACACAAATATATATATCATAAAACAGTTTAATGGAACATGCCTGTTATCCTGCACTGTTTACAATTCCCCTATTATGTTGAAATATTTTGCTATGACTGATAATTAAACACCTGTCTGACGACAATGAAATACAACCAAAATGCAATGAAAGCGATAATTTCAATTGCTTAACTTACATGGGTAATATCAACTTTAAATCTGTCAGTTGTACCGTACTTCTGTTTACATATTGGCTTGTGTGCAGTATGGTAATACTAATAGCCGACTCCGAAAACCAGTGAGCAAAATCCGCAATTATAAAACTTATAATGGTGTTGAAAATTACAACTACTGATATGTCTTTTGTTGCTTTAAAACATATTTATCAAGAGGACATTTTCATTTAAATTTTCCTTCTGTATTAAATAAAGTTGTGAAAACAATATTTTTACTAAAAATAACAATTTACGATTCCTCAAGTCATATCAATGACAAATCGGTCTCATGCTGTACATAGTGTACCGGGCCTCTATTTGAGAGCCATATCAACATCCATTCACATACAGTGATGGTATCTGAATCAAAGCAAACTTTCACTGCACAGGTTTCTTAGGTAAAATAAGGTCATAGAAATGTCAAATGAAACTGAAAAAGGGAAAATTCACCACAAGCTCAGGGGTTTGATGATTACGATGTTAATATACAATCAAATGCTACCAGAAACAGATTTAAATTTAATAGGATAATTTGGTGAGTTTCTTGAAGTATGTCATCATCACTGTCGGTGTGTGTATTTTCCCAAAGAGTGAATTTTTTGGTCTACTTAAGTTGACAAGATTGATGGCCATGTTTACGCTCTTGTTCGGTAATAAGCCCACCCCCCAACTTTTGACTTGATTTCATGTGCTGTCCCCTTGGGCTTGTTGGCATTGCTGGAGAAATACTGCAGACACCTTGACTGAAGATTTTAAGTAGATACATATTTAATTCCACGAAAAAAATTTAATTTGGCTTTCAAAAGATAACCTAAAAAAGAATGGGATATAACTCATAAGTAAAAATAGCGAGTCAGGTAATCAGGTTGTAAACTTTTTCTGAGCTAATAGCCTAATAGTGGATTAATAAAACTGGGAGAGCTATAATTATTCATAAAGGATGAATTGTAACTTAGATAACATAATTAGGCTTGAAGTCCACTTAGAACATCTGTGGTATACAGTTTGTACGAACTTGAATTTTTGACTGGTAATTTACGACCAGTAATGATGTTTCTCCTGATATGACTGTTCATCTACATCTTGTGATTCAAGCAGCAAAGATATATATGCATAATTTTCAAATGGCTTTCAGAGAATGGGCATTATCAGGTTGTCAACATTACAGTGTGTGAAAAGATTCAATCCTTCAATACCATTTCAAACACTTACAAGCTTCAGATTTTGAATGACGGCTTTGAATTTGATCACCAAAAATAACACTGTACTGGTGTATATTTGACATTGTATGTTAGTAACTGAACCTGATTTTGAGTAATCTTCAGATAAATGACAAAGACTACAGCCTATCTGAAAAGCACTGAATGCTTTAGTACAACATACACAAATTGGTTTAGTCTGTATGGATCAAGTGGACAGACATCTAAAATCTCATCAAATCTTACAGCTTCAACTTTAACCACTTTCAGGATTTTGTATGCACGGAAGTGAGGTTCATAAACAGAGTCACAAATTTGCACAACCAGTAATGTCTGATAATTGTGCGAAAACATAGCAATAATCTTTGACAAAACAATGTCATCACTCTCATAATGATGGACAACAAAACATCCTGGTTTGTATGCATGACCTTTGTAATTCACTCTGTCAAGTTTTGAAAGATATTGCTCATTCTTTGACACACCTTTGTTCATCAAAGCTTGACCTACATTAGGATCAAGTGATGCAAGTGCTACATTTGAGCTCTTTAGAACCTCAGAATGGGTTTTGAAAATATCATTACCACTCGATGTGATGTATGCCTGCAAGTTTTGATGCCTTTGTGCCAATGTGGCATTAATGTTTTTGAAATTTCCAACTCTTAAAGCTAACTGTTTGAAATAGCTATGCTTAGCCTCAAAACGCATGCACCAGCAAGTTCTTACAGGTCCGAAGTTCATTATCATCTCAGGATAGTGAATAAGAAAATGATGCTTTGATCTAAGATTTTCATTTGGGAACACTTCCTTAAAAAGTTTATGATGATCAATGATCAAAGCCTTCAGATATGCACACATAGCAGGAGACATTTTTGGAGAAAACGTTAATTCTGTTATATCTTTGAGCAACAGAAGTACTTCCCAAACCTTGCTTTCCTCTGGTATAAACTTGCCAATGATTAATGGCATCAAACGTAGTAGGGTCCACATTTGTGAGGCACTCTGTGTGAAGGACGAAATACAAGTTGGAGTCGTCGGTTTAGTTGTTGAATCATGCATACCATATTTCCATGTCTGTAAACTGCTCAAAATATCTGTACTTTTAACTATACAATCTTTTTCCAAGGACTGCAACACCAAAGGGACTTCATACCTTGCACAACCTTCCAGGATGTCGTGCATGCAGTCAGGTGGAAGCCCACGGGTGACATGGAAATATTGCAAGCTATTGAAAGGCGAGTCTCTTTTGACACCACATACAGAAGTACACTTACTACCAGAGTTTACATCCATTTGATGGACATGATGATTGTAATTTTCAACATTCCTACTTTCAAAATGTGTACTATCATAATCTGTCTGAGTGTCCTCTGTGTTTGCTAAACAAAAGCGACACATGTTTTTCACACTGTAGTTGAAACATTCTACAAAACCTCCAATTTGGTGACTTCCCAAATTGTCCGCACTTATATATGCTAAACTACCAAGCAGATTACTTTCCAAACCAGGAATAGCTGTTCCAACAGTTTCTAATTGCTTCAAATCATTAATTAGTGGCTGCAAAACTGATTCAAATCCGAATTCTCTCAAGTCTTTATTTGTACATAATACACAAAGTTGAATTGGATTCAATTCTGATCTTTTTTCAGGGCTGAAGTTTCCTAGGGTAAAATAAAATGCAGCAATCTTATGAATGCCTTTGCGGGATCCCAATGGATTGACTACTTCAAATTCATCAAAGTACAAAATGACTTGTAATGCATTTTCATGCTTTGAAAACAATGGATTTTCTCGAAAATATTTTCCATCGCAAAAGTCAACCAACTCCTGTCCATTACTTTTGTGAGAATTCATTACTTCTACTAATGCATCTTCCTGACTGAGCATGGATCTTATGCTATCTAATATGGGAATGTATTGGTACACTCTTTTGACATGCCTAGAATTTCTTCCTAGCATAACTGATATTGGTTTAACAACTGTTAAGCTACTTTCCCAGTATGAGTTGCGTCTGGCATTGGTTTTCAGAAGTTCTGTACACTTCTTCAGATGATTTTTACCAAAGACATCCTTGACAGAACTAACTATATCTCCTGTAATACCCTGCTGTCTTAACACGTTAATAACTTTTGCTTCTGTTTGATCAAATGCCTGCTCATACAAAGAGTCAATTTCTTGTACAATAGAATCTACGGTTGAAATCGGCAAATGATTGATTTCCTGCAACTTCAATATCATTAACGCCATTGTTTTTAAAAACTGTTCTTCTGAATCATTTGTTCCCTCTGCCGTCTCCTCCCCAATTTCTGAATTGCAATTAGCAAAATTTACAGGTCCGTTTACATTTTCAAATTCGGTTTCAACATCAACGACCAAAAACTCCCTTTTTAACTGCAGTACAGTATGTTTTGAATGACACCTATGAATATGGGATCTCAGCGATGAATATATATTGAATGTTTGGGGACAATTATTGAAGAGACAAACTGTGGAATCCCCTTTGTTCAGATGTTCTCCTATGTGTCCTATTAGCCGACTTAATGATGGGAATCTTAAATCTGTTGGACAAGCTTCAAAAGCACATCTTACTTTATTTGAAACGCCGACACTGTCAGACGTTAACATATGCTGCGTGTGAATCGTTGAAGTTGAATGGAATCGGTAAACGTGACTTTTGAAAGCACTGAATGTTTTGAAGGTATTGGTACACTGACTGATTCCACATCGTACAAAAAAATTGGGGTCTGCCCTGTGACACCGACTCATGTGGGTCAAAAGTGTTTTCACATCTTGAAAGTTATCACTTCTATCACAAATTGGACAATTCAACATATCGGAAACTAAGCCTAGAATTGTAAAAACTACAATTATCCGCATACTTACTTCATCACTTCTGCGTTGTTCCTCCTCTGAAAAGACCGCCAATATATTTAAGCAGAGCGCGCGCATCAGCAAACCGGAAAAACCAGCTACTACTGGAAACGATTACCGGGTTATGAATACGGACGACTTGTTCGCGGGGATGTGCGTTATTTTTCATATTAATTAAGATACTGCTTTTTATCGCTGTTATATATTGCTTGAGAAAAACACAGAAATATGGCACCGGGAAACCAGATAGCATTTCAAGTAACACGCGTTCAATGTACGTTTCACATGATATAGATAGATTCTACCATATCTTGAAATGAGAAATTCAGTCACAAAGGTAATGGTAAATCAGTCTTTCTTCTGTTTGCTATAGGCCTACATGACCAGATCTGTTATAACATAGAGTACCTTTGCACGTCAGTCGACATTTTCTTGCAGCAGAATTACACCACAAAGCGTGAACAATTACACCATACTTTCACCACAAAGAGTGTTTTCTGAAATAACACTCGGAAAATAAAATAAAATAATTTAATCGATGTTTTCTTGAACCAGTGTTACACTTAAAACGAGAAATACTTTCACCATAAAAAGTGTATTCTGATCATTATCACTACATAAGGTGTAAACATCCACCATTTCCTGTGTTACTCGAACTACATTTTAGTGTAATCTCAATTTACACTTATTTAGGTGTACAATAATTAGAAACCACCTTAGATCGGGAAATGTTACACACTGGTTACACTTATTCTGGTGTTAGGTTACACGACATTTTTACAGTGTAATACGATTGTAATCCTTATAAGTTATATTATCATTTATATTTATTTAATTTTAAAATGGCGAATTATCACTCATAAAATCATGTTCTGTCAAAAAACTGATGTCCGTCAACATGCTGACGTTTAACCTGGTGTGTCTGTCAAAACAAAGACGTTCATTATAACATTTCTGTCAAAATCGTGACGTTCATAATAATATGTCGGTCAAAAAAATGACGTTTGACAACAAAAACCCGCGAAACCTCATATCGTTTTGAAATTCTCATCGGATTCTGTCAAAAAATTAAACATTGGATATAGGTTAGGGCCTTCTGTGACAAAAACAGCATAGAAACATGTTTGCGGGGTTTCGTGATTCAAACGTCATCACTTGTAAACGTCAGTTAATTTGACAGACATCGGTAATTCATTGTTTTTACCTGCATCCTCCTCCAATTCCTCCTGTCCGCCGGCCATATTTGTTATTGCTAGACATGCAGGGATCCTAGCGGAAGCACTTGGCTTCATCGTAAGGGAGCTAAGCGTACGCTGGTATAGACCGATGGCGATCGTCAGCGAATGAAATTTCCGAGTTTGACGGACATGACGTTAGTTATTCTTGAGAGCATATTATCCGTAATTTCCAGGTGATATAGCAATGGCTTACTGAAATGTCCGAGGCACTTAGTTTTCTTTAGTTTGACTCCATAGTCATCTAAACGCTTGAGTGAAGCATCCAGATTTTGCTGATGGGTAACATCATCTTTCCCGGTTACAAGAACATCATCCAGGATACAACCGACACCATCCAATCCCTGTAGTACAGTTTCCATGGTTCGCTGAAATATAGCTGGCGCAGATGCTACACCAAATGGAAGTCTGGTGTACCTGTACAATCCAAGATGGGTGTTGATGGTCACATATTTTCTAGACTCTTCATCAAGTAGTACCTGGTTGTAAGCTTGAGTTAAATCCAACTTTGAGAATTTTTGTCCTCCGTTAAGCTTTGTGAATAGCTCTTCACTTGTTGGCAGGGGATATTCGGGTACTTCTAGCACCGGATTTATGGTAATCTTGAAATCACCACAAATTCTAACTGAACCGTCTGGTTTCATGACTGGCACAATGGGTGTTGCCCACTCTGAACTGTCCACCTTTTCCACTATGCCTGCATTCTCTAAACTGAGAAGTTCTGCACCTATCTGGTCTTTCAGCGCATAAGGTACAGTTCTGGCCTTGAAAAACTTAGGTTGGGCATTGTCCTTGAGCTTGATTGATGCTGTGATCCCCTTGACCGTGCCTAACTTGTCCTCAAACACTGAATATTTCTGTTCGTTGATAGACATCATGTTTATTGTTTTCCAGTTAAGTCGAAGTTGTCCTAACCAATTCCTTCCAAATAATGCTGGTCCATCAGCTTCCACAACAAGCAATGGTAAAAGTTTGGTCTGTCCCTCATAAGACACTTTGACGTTAGCCTCACCCAACACTGGTAATACTTCACCAGTATATGTTTTCAACATTGTCGAGCTGTTTTGTAGGTTGAATTTTCCCTGGAATTTAGCTCTGAAATCCTTATCAGATATCAATGAAACTGGTGAACCGGTGTCAAGCTCCATCGTTTGATCTATCTTTTCAATGTCAACAGAAATTCTTATTTCCTTTTGCCCTGTGGACTTTATAGAGAATATCGGCCATACTTCCGAAACATCATCCTGGTCTGAATCCTCAGTGAAATGAATCTTCGAACTCTTCTTATGTCTCTTTGAGTCCCCCTTTGTTGGCCTGGCTGAATCAGTATTACATCTAGTACCACCAGTACCTTGATTTTTGGAGTTACCAGGTTTATCTCTAGAGGTTTTGGATTTTGGGCATCTCTTGTGTAAATGTCCTACTTCCTTACATGTATGACACTTACTGTTCTTGTAGAAACATGTCTGCGCTATGATTAGACTTACTACAGCGGAAACATTCTTTTGACGCTTGAAATTTGTGAACATTTTCAGCTTTATCCACTCTGTCACCCTTTAACTTCCGGGCCTCATTTTCAGCCATTTCCATACTCACTGCTATCTCTCTTGCTTTAGTCATTGTCAGAGTAGCTTCGGTTAGGAGTTTCCGTTGTGTAGGGGTGGAAGACAAACCCGACACAAACCTGTCTCTCAACGCATCATCTAGAAATGCACCAAATTCACAATGTTCACTGAGCCGTCTCAATCCAGCCACATATTGACATACAGTTTCATTCGAATGTTGATTTCGTTGATAAAATTTAAAGCGTTCTGCTATAATGAGAGGTTTCGGCTTTAAATGCTGAGAAATGAGTGTCTTCAATTCATCATGTTTTGGCGGAGGGCTTTGCGGGAGATGTGAGGTTTCGCACTAGTCCATACATTTTCTGACCCATAACCGTCAACAATATCGACCGTTGTTTGTCTGCGTCCTCCACTCCATTAGCTATAAAATACTGCTCTACTCTCTCTACATACTCATCCCAGTTCATTTCAAAATCGAATGATTCAATTTTACCGTACACTGCCATGATCAAGTTTACGTGCCCCTGTGCGTGAAAACTTTCGCCACTTGGCTGTCGGTGAATAATGGCTTTCTAGTATAATTACAGAGTTTTTGGTTTACCGTACTGCCGTTATCTTCAGCTTCGATGCACCGGAAATCCTCGTCGCCACTGAAATGTCCGAGGCAAGGCTTGTATTAGCTGATTTACGGGAACAAACGAGGAGCACATGGTTTCATGTTTATTCCAAAATGGCGGGCAGTCATCAACAACAATAATGAGCATGCGCAATACACATACAAATTGGTAACACTAAACACTGTTGGATGGAAACAACAACCGCCCCAGACTAGTATGATTCTACAAACATTACACTTATGAACTTTTTCTTCTTTTTTTTTTTAAGTTACGATTTTATATCAGTTAAATGCAGAAATATTTTGAAAATTGACGTGCACAGCCCATCTCTAAAAGTGAGCAAAAACACATCATCATTTCCAATTTATATTCTTAATTTCTTTTATTGTGTATAAAGAAGAACAGTTTAAGGCTCACAAACATAAAATATGTGATACAAGATATACGTTTTGCATAAAACAGGTGGCATACAACAAAACCAATTATTTAAAAATACATCATCATTTGCCATGTCTGTTTGTCAAGGAGTTAAAATCTGTCAAAAACACCAATTAAATCAAAATCAAAATTCATTTATTATTATATGCATTGATTTTTTCTTCATTGAAAGTGTTTTTTACTGATAAAAATGGAAGATAACAACATCATGAAATAATAATTTCAATTAAAAACCTTAACTAGCAGAAATAAATGACTTTACACATTTTGACAGACAGTGATGCACTTTTATATGGAAGATGTCGTATATCATTCCAGATCAAGGGTCACATGATGGAAATGTAATTCAAATAATTTTGAACTCCGATGAGATGTTGATAATTTGCACAATTGTTTTGCCATTTATGTTGTCAAAGTAATATATTGGCTCTAAGAACCAAGTAGAAATAACTTGGTAATAACTTGGTGATAACAGGGCACTGTATGTGCCAAAAATACACTTCATATTAGGCATAAATTTTGCATAATATCTCCAAAATGCATCACATTCTTCTGATGAAATGCTTGCCAATTCTTCTGTAAAAGATACATGTATGGACTTCGGCATGTCTGTCTGATATGTCAATTGAAGTACAACCCATAAACTGTTTTTACAATTTCTAAACTGTTACAGGCATCATTCGAATATACACTTACCAGCTGATGCAAATACATATTTATTGCTTGATGGAATCCCAGCAGCTGTCCTCACTGCATCATTTGTCAGATATTTCAATGAATCATCTACATCTGGAGGTAATATTACAGGAACCCCTTTTCCAGTCTGAAATGAGCAATATGGCAATTAGAACTTTTTTTCCAATCTCAGTTCTAACAATGCTTTTGATCAATACAAGAATAACAATATTTTACTGAGGATAAATTAGGGGGCCAACATTATTTCTAAATGAATTTCAGTTAAACATGATACAATAAAACAAAGTTGATCAAAATTTTTTTTACTGTAAACACTATATAAAAAATGGCAAAGATTTAATTTTGGAAGGTACATTTCAAACCAAAAGGTACATTTCAAACCAACCTTTCCTCTTATTTCTACCACATCTTGGTGTTCTAGAAGATGGCGTTCGAAGCTGGTCAACTCTCCTCTAATTTCAGCACCCACTTGATCTACACCAGTTTTTCGGAGTGCATATGACATCAACCTAGAGAAGAAGTTCAATTTTCTTTATGGTTTGATAAATTGCACTGATGCATTATTGACATATGAAATGGAGTAAGGTGTGTGACAAAAGGAAAACATGTTGCTATATTATTCATCATAAAAATGTTCCTGTCAGCAGTGGTATTGTACATGGAATTTGTTTCTATTAGCCAGTTGTGTACCCAATGTTGAATTTTTCGTACAAATATCCCTCATAAATAATGAAATAAAATTACCTCATGGCTTGCACTTCATGACATCTTCTCCGATTGTAGAGTGTTATTCTGGCCAAATTGAGGCCAACAACTTTCCGGAATTGTGTGTACGATGTATCCACAAGGTCAAGATCCTTGATTTCTTTTGTCAAGTATACCGCTAACTTTCGTACGTCATCTGGCAGTGGTAGCTGTCTCTCTTGGTTGAATGTTCTGTCAGTCAATATACATCTTGCCAGTTTGGTAACTTTAAGTCCCCACTCAATGTCCATGAGCTTTCTAAATGATTCTGCCTCTGTTCTTTTCTGTTCATTGTCATCTTTGATTGCCTTGGCAAGTTTTGTAGAAAGCATCCTTTTAATATCGTGACCCAACTTCAAAGCATTGCTTGGTGACTTGAGATCCTCTTCATCTCTACCAATAGAACAACACCAAAGTGAAGCTTGCACGACCTGATCAAAGTGTTTTGGTTTGAGAAATCCATCCATGTTTTCGTTAGCCAATTTTGTAAGAGTCTGGCAGTTTTTCTTTAACTTTGCTGCTAGTCGCATCACCGAACTTGTGTAATATTTGCGCATGATTGTATTGCCGCGGTGCCTCAACATCCATGGTTTCCAAGGAGGACAATTAGATTATCACTCTTGGCAATACGTGACACGTCATCAATTTGCATAATCGGAAAGACCTCATCTAGTAGAGCATGTGATGCTTCATCTGTTACTTTTCCCACTATTATGTCCGACTGGACAATCAATGAATTCCTTGTGTATGAATTAGACAGTTCAGGATCAGTAGCACTGCAAGATTTATAATGGCGTTTCACCGATATCAATAATATCCATCCCAAGCAAGATGGACAAGGTCCATATCTTCTGATGTCAATGGTCTGTTTGCATACTTCTTCTAGTTCTCCCTCTTCATCATCACTTTCAATATCTGCTTCATATTTTGATCTCCGAAGCAGAAATACCTCTCCCTTTTTGTTTTCTATAACATTCAGGTTATGGTGATGGTCAGCTTTTAGCCTAAGTCTTGCAATTAGGTTCTTTCTTTCCCTCCCAGAAGAATCCCTTATATACTTCACCTCTTCTTCATCTGCATGTTGTTTAGACAGTATATGATGGCTGAAATTACTCACAGTTTTTGAGCAAAATAAACATGGATGTTTTGAGTCATATACGCGTCTAGTTTTTGTGTGTTTTCCAGCTACGACAGCTTTAGTTACCAATGACACATATATATCCTTATCGGAGATATCTCTCGCAATTTTCTTCTCATCCATGGTTTCATCAGCATCACTTTCTTCAGATAAAAAGACTATCTTCTTTTGAGGCTTATCCAACATGGGGAATACTTCAGAGTCTGTTGAATCTGCTGAATTCTCAACAAACCATTCATCAGATCTTGATTGAATCTTCGTTCGCTTTTCGTCTGGGCTTTTTCCTTTGCTGTTTCATTCCTTTTTTTCTTGGTTACCTCAATCCCATCTACATCATGCTGATACTCTATAGCTGTCCCATCATCTTGATCATCTATCTCTGTTCCCTCATTCCTATCTTTGCCATGCTGATTGTGTTTATCTGTTCCTGATCGAATCTCCCTACTTAGCTTTCTTTTACGACTATTTGTCTCTCTGTACTTAACTGTATGAGCTTTCTTCTCTGTTACCTCATTCCCCTCTAGATCCACATCATGCTGATTATCTATCTCTATCAGGGTATGTTGACCATCTGTCTCTGTCCCTTCATGCTGACCATCTGTCTCTAGCTCCTCATGCTGACCATCTGTCTCTGCCTCCTCATGTTGACCATCTGTCTCTGTCCCTTGATGCTGACGATTTTTCTCTAGCTCCTCATGTTGACCATCTGACTTTGCCTCCTCATGTTGACTATCTGTCTCTGTCCCTTCATGCTGACCATCTGTCTCTGCCTCCTCATGTTGACTATCTGTCTCTGTCCCTTCATGCTGACCATCTGTCTCTGCCTCCTCATGTTTACCATCTGTCTCTGTCCCTTCATGCTGACCATCTGTCTCTACCTCCTCATGTTGACCATCCATCTCTGCCTCCTCATGTTTATCTTTCTTCTGTGCATCTGTCTCTGTCCCTTCATGCTGACCATCTGTCTCTACCTCCTTATGTTGACCATCCATCTCTGCCTCCTAATGTTTATCTTTCTTCTGTGCACATAGCCCTGTATAAAAAATCAAGAAATTACTAGATTCAAGAGCAGTAAATTTATATATCTATCAACAAAACCTTCAATAAATGACATGTTTTGACAACTGATGTTTCTTTGTTATGCTTACCTTTTAATTCCAACACAATGCTAAATATGGTAAATGTCTGAACTTTAAACATTAAAAATTTTCAGCATTTTCAATTTCCTGAGTGTATTTTTCACATTTTGTACATTATGTATCAACAGACTGCAAAGGGTCTTTGCAGCGGATTGATTCAACAAAAGCACATTCAGTATGAAACATGTGGCATCATAATCTAAAAATGGATTTTCCATATCCAACTGCAGTGCAATGAGACACCATATAATGCAAAGACATTTTCAATCCTGTATGACTGTTACTACAGTATTATTACTAACTCATAACTAAATCAATAAATATTTGTTAATTTACAACTCTGTAATATAAGATGTTATTTTCCTAAAGCATTACCTATTACAAGATCAACATTTTTAGCAAGCAGCAAGATTTCAAAATACCTTCTCTGTTGCTATTGTCAATGGCCCAATCTAAGTCTGACAGAAATGCTTTCAGTGTGGCAGGCTTTCTCTTCAAGGCTTCTATGAAAACAAAACTTTTGTTACTACCAAATGTCACTGGTATTACATTATAAAGTAATTATCCCTACATTCTGGCAATAGTGGTTGAGACAAAACTCTACAGTAATTAGCCATTTATATAATGAAAATATGTAATGTTCTCCAGGGAAAATAACTGAAATGATGTTTCAAATGGAGTACGACAGAGTTCCAAGTTGTGCCATCTCTTATAATTATTTTTGTTCACATTTGACCTTAACGAAGAGGTCATATTGACAGAATGATACACTCTACACATCTGCTTTATAAAGAAAAAGATATATACTAACTTATATTCAGATGTCCCTAAAGGTTTAAAAAAAAAAAAAGTTACAGCCCGGACAAGAAAATATTGAAAAATTTACTTTTGTTTCACCTCCAACATCAAAGTCAAGGTCATAGTGACCTTAGAAGATAGTGCACTGCACAATGGCTTTAGGTGATGCACCTGTATTTGTCAAGATATCTTTACACGTTTAGCAGCTATGCCTGGGCAATGTCTGATTAAAACTATCAGAACCAATACTAAAACAATGTCTCCCTTCATTAGAATGAGGCATAACTAAATTCCAATCAGCATTTGATAAAATTTTCATCAAATTTAATTTTGTATATTTCTACTTCATGCAATAGTCTGTCAACTGAAAACTGAGTTGTCCTTGCCCTGTAATATAATGAAATAAGAGAATATGCCAGAAATAACTTTCCTGGGTGTCCAAAAGACATATGCACCTTGAAATTGTACTTAAATGTTCTTTGTAATTTAATAATGGTATTTTCCCCCCACCAACTTTCCTGAAGCCTTGCACTGTCAGTGATTCATCTGCAATATCTCTGATATATATTCTACATAGATTTTTGTGCATGTAAAATAACTGAGAAAAGTTCAAATTACTAAGAATTTACAAGTATAGTGAAAATTAAAGGTGCATACCAGTATTGTCTTTTGTATCTCCAGGGGTCGATATTAACTTTTTAGTCACTAGCAAACCAGTGCTAGTGCCTAAAATTTCCACAAGCAAAAATTATGAACATTTTTTTTTATTTGGTGAAGTTTGACTTCATTACTGTTATATTGACAACTTTTTATTCTATTTACACAAAATTATCAAGGGAAAAACTGGAGAAATCCCAAATGTATTGATAATCTATGCCACTTTAGTGTTTGTAACCTATTTACTTATGTATAGGCAGACGGTGAAAGGTATCTTGTGGAAGATTTTTCGTCAAAAATACGGATTATATATTTTGTTTCCACTGGCAAAATTTTGCTTGTTCATTTTTTTTCCAGCTAGCAATTACCAGATTTTAGCTGGCATTTGGCTAGTTGTATATACAAAGTAGTTAATTTCGAACCCTGAATCTCTATTTAACAGTTTAAAGTTAGCAATTTGTGACTGATCAGTATTCCAACCTTTTATGACATGTTCAATTGTTCATGAATCAGTGAACTGCTCAATTTGCCAAGCTTCAGTAAAGTTGTTCTGGTTATAACACTAAAATGGTGTATGATGGAACATTTGAAAATTGAAAAACACAAAAACTTTCAACTAAAGCAGAAACAATTAAATAAAAACAAAGTTCTTCCCAGCAATAAAGGTTATATCGATGAATGTAAAGAAATTAAGATATGAAATTTCCTAGGAAGAACTCTTGATGAAAAAAAAAAAAAAACTACAAATAACTTGAACATTTTGCAATCATCAACACATCTTACTCTGTGCAAGAGATCTTCTTTCCTCAATATGATGACCATTATTTTTGAATATTTCTACATCTTTCAAAGGAAACCTGTATGAATAAATTTCAATAACAAGACTAAACTGAATATCTAAATCATTGTCAAAACGTAACAGGGCTCTACAAAACCACTCACCTGCTCATTCATCAGGAAATATATGACAATTAACACAAAATTCTGACATCAAATTTCTATTCAGTCAAAATAAGCATTCTCTTTCTGGACGAGTTCAGTCAATTTACTTTTTGTTTAATAGAAGTTTGCCTGGTCGATGTACCAGATGCATGTGCACAGACCATATTTTAGAATAAATTTTTAGCTCTCAAGATTTGTCTTTGTGTGGTGATGGATTTCCTAAAAACTTAGTCATACTAACAAATTTCCTTGCATTAATCTCATGTATGATGGAAGGATCCGATAATTGTTGCAGGATGAATGTGAGGTGTAACTCAGACTAATGCATGCAAATTGTTGAATATACATGATCTTTGAAGTAGTTAACTGGCTTATCTTATTACAATGCATATTTGTGTACATACCAGGCATTGTCACTTAAACAATATCCCAACTGCATGGGAGTGACTACCAATGGCCAACGTACAGCACATTGAGGGACTCTGGACCACACAATCTGCCCAACTGGTAATTTGTGGCACCCATCTTTTGATTTGTACTGAATTTAAAAAAAAGATTATGACATTCTCTCTGCATCCATGTACTAGTGGGTTTTTGTTTTGTCAAAGATGCTATGGGGTTTATACATCTTCCAAACTTCCTGTCCATGCGATAATGTATTTTCAGTCCATGACAGTTGCAATATTCCAGTAAAAAACAATAATCATCAAAAATATGACATCTCAAGCCATAACACTGTCTGTAATCTACAATGTATAGCCGTATTTCACAACGAATCCCCAAGTATAAAACGTAGGCCAACGCTAACCTAAAATCCTTCGCTTCCCTGTGGAACATTATGTTCCACGCAACATTGTCATTGTTACTCATTACTTCCATTCAAATTGAAAGTCCAAACATTGAAAAAATATGTCCACTTTCGATATATCACAAACAGGAGAATGAGTATCAAAAGAAGAATCGTAAATATTGAACATAGTAAGCACGTGTGGACAACCGAGGTATCCGCCATTTTCCCGATAACCGGAAGTAAGAATGATTGAGCATTCAATGACCAAAATATGTCTAATTACGACTGAAAAATAAATCTTGATGGTTACATGGAGTCTAGTAACCTTTTAACTTTGAAATTTCATAGATTTTGTGAAATAAGCTAATCTGTTGTAAATCTCACTGACTACTTTCGGTTTCCAATATACCAAGTACTGAAAATGAAACCTCACAAAGCCGAGCCAAAAATGATCAATCGTAAGTCGTTTTCCGTTAGATAATCATTCTTTTTAATACACAAACTCCTGTTTATCGATTTTCGCAACATTCAATTATGAAATCACTTACCTTGCAAGCCCCACATGCTGCGCCATTAACCGGAAATGACGACACTGCAATTTGGAACACCTCTCGTTTTTTTCAATTTAATAAGTGATCTCAGAGTTTTTAATTCGGAATAGCATTTTTTCGGACTTTAGTGGCATGTGTCCATCAAGCTATTAACTGCGTGTCCAACAATTTGGACAAAAACGTTGTGGGGTAGACATTTATTATAACCAGCAACCCCAGAAACACCATTTTGACGGGAATCCTTGAAACGCATGTGGGGTTAACCCCACATGCAAAAATAACCCCACAAGGTTCAATTGGACAGGGAAAACACCCCACATGTATCACTCCTAAGAGCGGACGGACAGAAAGGCACGCACGCAGACAGACCCACATGGGACAAAAACAATATGCCCCAATCTTTGATCCGGGGCATAAAAATTTTATCATCCCTAATAGAGAAATGGCTGATGTTTCAGTCAAATCGACAGCGTCATACAATCTTTTTTAATGAAAAACAATCCCAAAGTCCAAGATTAATATTAATATTGAAACAAGCAAATTCGTGGAATTTATATCCCCCGCTTCTAATTATTGACCTTGACCTTTGACCTCCACAGATGAAAAGCAATCCAACACAAATACTTTTTGTCATTACCTTCTAAAGTTATTTCATCCAATGTCTTCCCAGCATACTTGTGACAATTGCCATTGTCAACAGCTACAAGTAATTTACTAACTTTCGCCAGCTCAAGAGTTTGTTCCTGTAGGCGATAGAACCGTCTGTGAACAGTTATTAAGTGCCCCATATGATTTGCTAACCACTCAAGCTCATTTTGAGAACCAAGGTCAACAACCTATATCAAATAAGAATCAGAAATAATTTAAATGGTTTAAATTGATTTAAATTGTGATTAAGAACAAGAAGCAGTCTTTGAAACCTGAAAGGTCAAAAGGTCATTGAAGTCATACAGAATTACTAATGCTGAATATTGACAACTGTACAAATATGACATGGAGAACGTTTACTTGTACATGACACATATTGCATTTAGAATAAAATTGTTTCAAATGCCTTCAATGCCAACTAGAAATGGGCAGATTAAGTTTTACTTTTCTTAAAAAGAGCTGATCTG